AAAGAAAGGCACTGTCTGACCTGGCGTCCACCGAGCTCGACTCAGCGATGGACACAGATAGACCACATTGCTATTAGTCATCGCTGGAGAGGATCGGTGGAAGACTGCCGCTCCTTCTGGAGTACGTGTTTGGACAGCGATCATGCGTTGGTCCGAGCACGTATATGCCTGCGTCTCAATGGACGTAGAAAAAATTTGGCAACAAAACCACTACGAGTTCTGCTGGACAACGAAAACACCAAAGCCGTGTTCAGTGAGAAGTTGGCTAGGCAGTTATCGGAACAAAAGACTGTCACTCATCCAGAAGAAGCTTGGTGCCATCTTCAGTCTACTGTAAAAGCAGCACTGGAGACTGTAGCCGACTCCAAGATAATGGCTAAAAAGAGCCAGTGGATATCAGCAGCTTCTTCCAAACTAATGGATGCACGTGAATGCATCCCTGCAGGCTCTGAGTACAATGAAGAGCGAGCGCAACTTAAAAATAAACTGACGAAAAGTCTGCGCAACGATCGTGAACAGTGGTGGGCAGCAAAGGCTAAAGAGATGGAAAAGGCAGCGGCGATCGGTAACAGTAGACAGTTATTTAGACTTATTAAGGAGACTGGGGGAAATGGTCAACAACAGTTAGTGAGGTTATAGCGGAGAAGGACGGATCGGCGATTCACTCGCAGGGAAGGCGACTGGGACGATGGGCAGAACACTTTGAGGAACAGTTTAACTGGCCTCCAGCCACCATTGCGCTGCCCGCTATCCAGTCGGACCCTGAATGGGACATAGAGACAGGTCCCCCAACACTAGAAGAAGTTGAGAAAGCGGTAGGTAGCCTGAAACGAGGAAGGGCAGCAGGACCAGACGGACTACCTGCTGAGGTATACAAGGATGGTGGTAAGGCACTCTTAGTCAGGTTAACGGGAGTGCTAACCAGCATATGGGAATCAAATACGATCCCCTCCGACTGGTCTAAGTCACTCATCATCCCAGTCTTCAAGAAAGGCGAGAAGTCCTCTTCTGATAACCACAGAGGAATCAGCCTGACGAACATAGTGTTAAAGATCCTAGGTTCTATAAATCTTCGAAACCTGAGTGGAGCTCGGGAACACCAAGCCCGAGAACACCAGGCAGGCTATAGACCCAATCGTGGGTGTATCGACCAAATATTCACACTGCTCCAGGTCCTGGAACACAGGCATGCTTACAGACACCCGACAATAGCTGTATTTCTCGACCTGAAGGCGGCATTTGACTCCGTTGATCGAGAAGTCTTATGGCAATGTCTGTCACTGAAAGGCGTCCCGAATAAGTACATCACGTTATTGAAAGCTCTCTACTCGAACACTTGTGGGTGTGTTAGAGCTTATAGTGAGATGTCCAGGGAGCTATACTCATCAAGTGGTGTCCGTCAAGGATGCCCACTATCCCCATTCTTATTTAATTTTATCATAGATATTCTTATAGAGGTCTACCTCTCGTCATCTGATTACACAGAGGTTGACCTGATTGCAAGAGAATTTTCTTTAGATCTAGAATATGCAGATGACATAGTCCTGTTAGGTGAAGACGCTGACTATATGGAGAGTCTTCTGAACACTTTGAGTGGCGATTTGAGAATGTTTGGGATGCGATTTTCACCACCCAAATGCAAATTTTTGCTCCAGGACTGGTCTTCAGCGGTACCGCGGTTAACAATAGAGAGTGAAGTGGTTGAGTGTGTTGACCACTTCACTTACCTGGGAAGTAGGATCAACCCGGTGGGTTAGTTGCCGATGAGATTTCTGCACGGATACAAAAGGCTCGATTGGCTTTTGCCAATTTGCGCCACCTATGGCGCCGCCGTGATATTCGTTTGTCTATTAAGGGTCGCGTGTACTGCACAGCAGTCCGCTCTGTTCTACTGTATGGCTGTGAAACATGGCCATTGAAAGTGGAAGACATGAAAAGGTTTCCAGTGTTTGACCACCGTTGCCTTCGTAGTATAGGACGTATTCCGTGGTGTCACCATGTGAGTAATGCAGAAGTTAGGTGTAGAGTTTTAGGGAGAAGAGGTAAGTCAGTCGACGAGGTTGTGAACCTTCATCGACTGAGATGGTTGGGACACGTACTACGTATGCCTAGTCACCGATTGCCTCGTCACACAATGTTGGCTGAGGTGGGTCCAGGCTGGAAAAAGGCCCGGGGTGGCCAGACTAAAACATGGTACCAATGTATGAAGTCTCTGACTGTTGGTTTGAGCCATGTGGGGGGATGCAGACTAGCCGGTTGGGGTCCACAGGACAAGAGGAATCGGTGGTTGCAGACTCTAGGTGATATGGCTGAGAATCGATGTCAGTGGCGCAGATGTATTCACACATTATCCTCATCGTAATGACGCTATACCGAATCTCACCATTTTGTCACTCCTCTTTCCTTTCTTTTCGTACTTTATATTTCTTTTGACTGAATTTTCTTATCTTAATCCTGCACCTCACTGCCTTTTTACTTGATGTAGTGATATGAGGTTTGGCAACTCGGACCGTTGGACAGTAATGCCTGGTCCTATGTTGACATTAGTGATTGTGATGATGATGGTCATAATAGTGGGTAACTTAAACGCTCAATTACGGGAGCTGAGTCAATCGGAAAGGCATCTTGTGAGTATCTAGGGAATCCTACGCGAACGAACCGACAGTGGTTATCTTGTGATGCAAACTCGTTCTGACGGTCACTTGTTTCTTGCTGGCATCCATTGGCAAGATATCCAACTACTTATTAGAGGACATATACACTGCACTGCAGCCCATTTTGTTCTGTTATACAGTTATAAGACATTACAGTTAGAGGACATGATTCGGTTACACAAATAACCTCAATAAATGAAAGTTTGGCGTGAGTGCATATATTTTACTCATGACTGACATAGTTTATCTATCAGTGCACATAACTTATTCGGTTACATGTTTTGTTTTACTGACAGCTCATTTTTGGAACGTCAGGTTGCCTGAATTTGGAATATTTTGCTCATTTAAACATATGGTGCTAAGGAAAGTTTTTGAAGCAGTTCATCAGTTCAGGACCTATTATTATTCCAAGACTACTGATAGCGTCTTACCTTGTTATTGTTTAATATTTATATCGTAAAAAGACATCAATTGAATTTAACTGCAGCTCAATATTATGGTTCTAGTGGTTTTACCCTAGACCTCTCTGTGCTCATTAGTAACGTGAACACAAGCAGCAGCTCTCCGTTAGAATATTCCTTCATAAATGCTATCAACAACATTTGTTTGATTGGCTAATAAATAGATCATTATCGAACGGCAAGTCGGAAGTGTGGTCAATATGACTTGGTCGAGTAGTAAGTAATCATGAAATCAAATTACTAAGTATGTCCACGAAAAATTCGTACATTGTGAAGAGGATCAATTTATTATAAATATGTTTACAGTGAATATTTACACAGTAATGTTCGTTATTGTGGCATTGTTTCGAGCAAAATTACCGTTCGTAATCACACCACCTTTTGGAATTATTTGTTCAAATTATTCATTAGTTGGACTTGAATTACGAACTTATTCTAAACACAAACTGATTGGTGATCAAGAAAAGTGACTTGTTGTATCTTGACCGTTAATGAACTAAATTATACCTATAAACTAGGATGAAACTCAAAAGTATTTGAATATTCGAGAATGTGCAGTTAACCTAGATCGATAATATTTTTGTGGATTTTGGTGCAGCCCAGTAGATAAGAAATTTAAGTTAACTGATGAGGTTTTCAACTGTCAATGACCAAGGTGACTGAGACATGCTTTGCACATGCCGGGAAATCGTTAACCTCAGTTTGGTGGTAAATGAAGTAGGATTGGATTGGAAGAAGGCTAAAGGCGGTCAAATAAAGATGAGGTGCCAGTTCATGGAGGTTCTGAATATTGGTTTGAATCTTGTAGGTTTTCTGACTGGGGATTTTGAAGCGACAGGAACTGATGGCTGGGATTCTTGCTGATATGACTCACAGTTGATCACAACTGCAAAAATGCATACACGCTTTGTAATGTTTGAATTCCTAAACGTTATCACTAACTTGAAACTATTTCCCCCTTCCTCTCTCATGCGCCTGTCAGCTTTTGTTTTATTCGTTCCCATCCATGTTTCTTTGCACGCTGCTGTGGTATGTGGTCGTTTGAACCTGTTTTTCGCGCCAGTTTCTACCTTGATTTGTCTGTAAGTTTGACAACGTATGAGCGTCCATGCCAGAGTTTGATGAAAGTCCTTCATAAGAAGTAGGAAGCCTCAGCGCGTTTTTAACGATGATCTGTGTCTCCGCCCTTGGTCCGATTTCTGCGAATTCCGTTTTGAGACAGTACCTATCTGCGTGTTTAGGCTTTGGAGTGTCCATAAACAAGCCGTTTTGGAACAGTTTGTAGCATAAATTTACCGTTGTTACGTTTAGAAGATGTCCTTCGGATTGGCTTATCTTTATTACTTGAGCGTTGAATTCACACATTAGCATGATTATATCTTAACTTTTAGCCTTATTTAGCAAAATTGACTGCTTTTATTCAAACTAGTCCATCGCATTATTCAAACTGTAGTCACGTAGAGATAAATTACATATAGGCATCGATAAGTGTCTTTATCCTTTTTTAGTCCTTTCAAATCGGTTTATCCAGGCAACACACGGATGTCTGCCAACTGACATCCAACCACAAAGCAGTCTTTCTTTACTATGGTCCGGGAATGTACCTTTGATACCCGGTCCAGTGGGAGATACTGTCGAATCTTAGGACAACCAGATGGTGGATTTTTAAATTCATCACACTGACTATGGGAAGGTCAGGTGTATCCATGTCTTAGATACACAGCACACATCTCAGATCAGGCTCCAAAGTTGTTGCGAGAAAGACCTGTTGTTTGATTTGACATGGGGTTTAAGCGTAGGGAGCTCCAATGTGAAGTTGACACTATTATTGTAAAAGATTAGACGTAGCACTTACAGGCTTGTTTCTCGTTGATATCAAGAACAGATGGTGAATACAAGAAAAGAGATAAAGGCAATGAAGGTTAGTTGGGTTTTCTATGCTGTTGGAAGCTTTTAGGCGATTGGTACTTCCCTTTAAACTGTTTCTGCTAGGTTCTTGAAAGATTTAGGTCAAATGTCACCTCATTAAAAATTTTCTTATGAAATCTGCTTGTCAGTGTTTAAATAACTAGTTTGAAAACCCTTTTTATTCCAATGTTAATGCCAAGTAATAACGTCTGCAATATTTTTCTAACCATCCATAGGGTCTTATCTTGTATCCGGAAGAAAATCGGGTCAAGCTAGTAAGCGACCTGATCCGTGAGCAAACTGGTAAACGATGTGTGGTTGTCAGTGGTGCGACAACAGCTCTCGAGGTAGCTCAACAACAATTCACTGAAGCAACTATTGGCACTAAGAGCTTCGATCTAGGAAATGAGGTAAAAAGACTACTCCAGGTAATGTGGCGTTAGAAGTCCTCATACATATAGTGTTATTCTAAAATGACTCAAAAATTCAGGATTTTTAAAATTCTAAGACTGATTGTGGTTTTTTTTGTGATAGTTTAGAAAAATGGCTAATCCTTTTCTGCTCATTTTCCATTCAAAATATTTTGCTTTAAACACATTTAGTAGCGCGAAGCGTAAACGCTGTCCAGCCGGCTACCCAAGGTATTATATTTTCTTGAATTACTATCAAATGATGTCTTAGCAATCTGGAATTAGCACATCATTTTGTATTAGCCCTGTGACTCATTGGTTTAGGCAGTTGACTTTCAACCAGTGAGTCACAGTTTCGCACACTGCTTCAACCTCCGAGGTTTGAGCAGTTAGGCAGTATCATTAGCTTTCACACAGTGGGTGTAGCTCATTGGCTACTGGACCCGCGTACACGTGGTTACTGACTATATTTCGTTTTTTGTATAGTGTTATAATTTTTAATATGCAGTACGTTGAAGGTGGAAATGAAGGATTCGTATTTCTTTGGAATATACCTTTCATTTCTGCTTTGATTTAGCAAACTGATCTGCGTGTAAAGGATTGATGACGGATTGAAACAGATCTGAGTGGAAGCTGGATTCAGGCCAGTGTATGTAACCATTATTCTCTTAAATGTTTATACCGTTATCTTATTGAGCGAAGTTAACCAAGTAGGATACTTTCGTTATTCAGGAACTTTCCTGTTCATAAAATGTATGCTTACTACGAACGGGATATATAATCTTTTATTTCTCTGTTAGCAAATGTCGGTAAAGCATTCTATCCTCAGGAAAATAATTTCTGTCGATAAATCAGGGTGATGGGGCTTTTATTTCATGTATATCAGTTTGAAGAGAATTTTTATTCAAGATTGAAATTAGTTAAGTGACCAGTGACCACTCCTCAAGAGTGCATATTTTCGATAAAAACCAATAAAACCTTGGATCAGCTTTGATAGCGAACACCATAAAGCCAGTGTTGCCAATTTCATCTTGAAATGGTTCTTTTTCTGATGTGTAACTTTTGTATTTCAAGTTGTAGATAAAAAAATAGCATGCTTAGTGATATGATTTGAAAATAAAGTAAAATGACCTACGTTGGAAATTGCCTAGATATACCAAGATTTTATATAAGTGATACCAGCCATTCCTTCTGATTCTGCAACCCAGATATTGAAGAAACTAAAACAATCCGAAAAGAAGGATTTGAGATAACTTCATTTCACGCCCTAACAATGTGCAATGCAGAAGGTTTGTCTGTCGAAGGGTTTTCCCAAAGCTTGTATAGCTTTGAAAATTTAAAAGTTGTATGATCAAAGTAGACTAAATCAGTGTAATCCTAAGTTAAAGTTTTAGGAAATAATTATATTTTTCAGTAGTTAATCAATGCAAATTCAATAGTGCAGTTTCACTGGTGTCTCACCGGATAAGTAAATTAGTTTATTATTCGTTCGTTCACTTGTGATATAGCTGTTATTCTTTGTACCGCTGACTAGTAACCATGTATATGGTTCGCAGTAATAAACAACTAGCGGATATCTCGATTGGTTATTCTGCAGCCTAATGATTGATTTTAAGGATGTTTTCATCATAAATTAAAATCCATTGGAGAACCAACCATTCAAAATCAGGTTACCGTGGACAGGTACTTCATCTTGGAATGAAACTAGTCATCAGTTGGTACCTATGAACTCATTTTGGATCCATTTAGGAGTTATCAGGTTTTAAACAAACCACGTTATCTTCCAGTCATGACACAGGAATCCAGTGGTTTATTCTTTTCAAATTCTGCCAGTTTGTTATATAGTGTGACCTTCATATAACGTCAGTGGACATTCGAATGATGTAACTCTACAGGTTATGGCTTGTAATTGAAAGCCTGGAAACTCCAACTTCAAACCTGATGTTCTGCAAGATTAATCTAGCATGTAGTCATGAGTTTGCAATGATTACGAGTCTTAACCAGAAATAAAGCAACTTTCTAGTGCTTCCTGGCTTTCAAAAGTTAGTTCTTTAGCTAATGTTAATTTGCCATGATAAGTGTCTTGGAATAAAGTGGTGGTTACATTTTTTCATATGTGATATCTGAAATCGCCACCATAAAATAGTAGGTAACGAAATTTCACAAGTTGACGAAATTAATTTAATTACGGATTCTTCATTTCAGTTTTTACGAATCTTCTGTTAGGATATAACGCCAAGCTTCTGGATCTGGTCTTAAAAGCATGTTTTCCGTCAATTCTGAAAATCTTTTTTAGTGGATTTCTGATCGCTCTTCTGTTTATGTAGTATTGGAATCAATAATTCATTTCATGAATGACTTGACGAGGGTTACTGGTATTCTGACTGCTCTTATATTTTGCTTCATATTTTATCCGCGAACGTCTGACAAAGATGTGAATTTGAAACAATTGTTCTGTTTTATAAATCTAAACAGTATAATTGGAAGATGAAGTTTGTCCGAACAATGTGATGTGTTCGCGCAATATATTTCCTGTTTGTTTTCATCTTTCTTAATTTTAATCCCCCTATTATCTTAATCGTTCTATTTGCCCTCCCATTCTTCGGTTTTATGTAAACTGACTTGACAGGTAAATATGTCGTCAGATTATTCAAAATCTATAGCGCAAATACGTGACATTATTCAGATAAACTTCTAATTACACCATCTAAATGTGTGGATTTATAATGCAGGGCAGTGATCCGGCGTGCAGACCGTAGTGTGTTGAGTTGCCTGTAAGAAAGCTGAAGTTTACCGTTTTATTCTACTGCGAAATAGTCAAAAAGATTGGAAACTTGTTGGTCGATGTGTCAGCCAAATAGATATGAGACTATTTCTTTATAAGTCTCTTCATAAAAAAAATTTCTAGTTTACAACTGGAAATTGTGGCGGTAAAACTCTCACCATAAGCTGTAGTTACAGGTGTGTAGGTTATATGCAATCTGGAAAATAGAAAACTATTTCATGCTGAGAATTGCAAATCGTACCAAAAATTGTTCGGAATAAAGTGATTGTTATTATTATCATTAAAATTTCTATGAGTACACACTCCAATCAAAAAATGAATGTGGTAGTGAAGTTTTGAAGTTAGACCGATTGTTTGTAATTAGCATACTTAAGCTAAGTATGCTGTCACATGATTGCCATTCACATCTTAAATATTCGGTTCTTATTGAACGACTCACTTATAGGACAAACATGTAGATTTATGCAGCAACTATTCTTTTATGGCCTTACTATGTTCAGTATTTGAGGGATATCCCTAAATAATCATCATTCTTCGCTAACTGACTGGGTTGAAAAATGCCGCCAGGAAGTTGATCAGTTCGAATGTAAGGGTTCAATAACCAGAAGCTACTTTTAACAAACAAGATTACCGAAACTCGCTAATCAATAGTGTCACTCTGAATTTTCAACCAACTAATTTTGAAATTCAGTTTTACCAAGATACGTTTAAATTATCTGATGTATTTGAACCGTGGATTCTATATTTCCGTAGGTAACCAGATCGTATTATCAACCTATTACCGTTGGTCTGATAATCTACGTATTGTTTCAGGTTTATATACTGTGTAAAAATTGAATTACTGCGGATACACTACAAAGCGGTATTTTTTTTTATGTGAAGCACAATTTTTAATTCTATCCTTAAAACCATACTGAGTTTATTGCTTATTCTGCCCTTATTAGTAATACCTGTTTACTGATGCCATATTTTTTGTCCCATTTATCTTTGCGTCTCATTTTGTTTCTACTAAGATAGACAGAATACTTCAAATTTGTGGTAACGCAGGATGATGTAGGAGTTGAACTTTGTGGAGGCATCAAGCATGTTGTAGCAATTGCAGCAGGAATATGTGACGGTTTAAAACTAGGAGATAATACTAAGGCAGCAGTACTTCGTATTGGGTTTTGGGAAATGTCCGAATTGATGAAGGAATTATTTCCTGATAGAGGTTGGTTTACTTACCTTCTGAAAATAATAATAGTTTATCATAACACTTTTCCAGTGGTTTATTTTGAATATTATTACGTTAGTTGGTGCAGGCAGTTACTAGTGCACTGTCTTCAAAATCAGGATTGAATACACCACACCTTTACGTTACGACATATGAGACAGTATGAACCTATTCTTTTACCGGGACTAAACTTGTTATTTAGATTTTCAACTATAAAGGACGATCAGAAAACTGAAGTATTTTCTTTTTCCGTTGGGCAGCCCAATGTTTCTTTTGTCTGTGGACAGTGTTGAGCATAGTGTTAAAATACTCATTTCGTTACACATAGGTGGACTGAGTTTGAGAAAGGTCTAAAAGCCTGAGGCAAGCTGCCTTCATGATCATAACAGGACTCCTACAGAATTAGCTTTAAAACATGGATTTGTTTGAATAGTTTTCTTAAAGTAATTTTCGTTACAAGCCCCAAAATCACATAGTTGCTCAAAAAAGAATGAACGAAGAGTGTCGGTAGTAATTACTGACTTCGATAAACATCGAAAAGCAACTCAATCCCAGATAATCAATTTGTTAGAATTCCTACTGTACTGTGCACAGTAAACAGGTTGTGCTAAGTATCACTCAGTTTGCCCGGTGAAAACATCACAAACTATTCAAATGAGAACTTTCTAAACCAACACAATGCGAGTAATCATAGAAAAAAATCCACCTTGTTTTAATTTGTAAACCAAAGTTCAAACTAACGTAGTTGTCTTCAACTTTAAAACAGAGTGAATCCAAGCTAACCGGAATAAAAAAAGATAAATTAACCAAGGGATAATATTCAAACGGTCAGTGCTTTAATATCAAATAAGCTAAGCTTTCATCACCAGAATAACAAGAGGTATAGTAAAACACCAACTCCCTTTTCATTGCCTTTCGAGCATGCAATCAGCTCTATAACCTTCATGGAGGACATACTGTATTATGCTACACTGAAATTATATTTAGCCTGACGTCAATGGGTGACCTATTCCAAGCAAGCGCATTGAGGAGTAAAATTACAGGAGCGTGAATAAATGCAATCGTAATATTTCACTTACAGCTTTTTCACCCTGATCACTCTCTTGTCTATCTTTTATTCCTAAGCCCACTCTAACAACTGCTGAAATAACCAATGAAGTTCATTTATTTGTGAATAAGCTACTTTTCCAACCGATGTAAAAACACTTGATTGGTTATTTCGGCGGTTGCTAGGGTATCATCTTGAGTCACTGCTGTTCCTATTTCAAGGGTTTTTTACAGTTCGGGTGTTGGTTGTTTGGTTGAGCTCGCTTAGATGTCAGAAATCAGTGGTTAGGGAATCTTAGTGGCATTGCTCAAAATTATCACAATCCCTCAAACGCATAAACTCTTAAACATTGAATTTTTGAATATTCCACTAACCTCAGTTAAGCAATACTTGGGACCTGGCGTTGATGCATAGTATTCCTAGTGACCATACCTTTTATCGACAAATGAAGGTAGGACGCAGGAAAGCAGAAATTTAAACAATAAAGAACAAGGTACTCATAAGTACTGGAAAATCATAAAAGAGGAGGAAGATGGAATAAAGCAACAACGGAGTTTGGTATTGTGATTAAGGAATAGACAATGTGTAAACACATCTGGGCAACCGGTATATTAACACTAATCCTAAAGTTGTAAACTACCGATTTCGGTTATCACATGGACCTCAATCGGTGAGTCTACATTCTCGTACGGAGCTCAAACCAGAAGTGAGAGACTTCAATGACTGATCCTGCGTCCTAGTCTGACCAACTTTAATCTTTTTTCAACCTGAAATTATTTCGGCCAACATTTTGCGTTCAAGTAGTCGAGGATTAAGGTTACACATCACATCCCAGCCAAGTGATTTAGTGGAAGTCCACAAGCTTACCAACTAAATTCTGTTACCGGAAATCGTACGCCTAGCTTCTGTGTTTCTGTTAGTGGTTCCACGACACAGGCAGTGCTCCATAGGGAACATTAATCGAACACCTGAAGTCTTCTTATCTCTGCATTTAATCACCATGTTTCTTAGTTGTATATTAGAACAGAGTAGACTACTGCGCTGTGTATTCGACCTTTAATTGACAGTCAGATCATCACGGTAGTGCCACAAATGATGCGGGCTGGCAAAAGTTAGTCTAGCGTTTTGTATCTTTGCAGAGGTTTCGTTGGTTAATAACCCACCAAACTTCATTTGACTTCTCAAATAAGTAAAGTTGTCAAGGCGCCCAATCACTTTACTACCCTCTGTTAGACAAGGCATGAACATAAACCATTTCTGAAGCGACAATTCACATCCCACTTGTAAGGAACGCATCCCAAACACTTTGAAACAGTCACTAAAGGTTTCCAGGAGATTCTGCAATTTGTCAGGATCTTCACATAAAACAATGTCATCTGTTCACCCTAGGTCTACTAAAAAGTCTTCTGTGATATGGTCGATCCCTGTGGAGTCGGATTAGGAGACCTCCACAAGCACTGCTATGACGAAACTAGATAAAAATGGAGAAGGTGGATGTCCCTGAAAGACATTACTCGACGTACACAACTGACCTGATACATCACCGCTGGCTGTAGCATGTCTGCAGTTGTGCGACTATGCAACTCAACAGATTGATACACTTGACATGCACCGATTTGGGGAACTAACGCCGTCACTAGACCTCTTGATCGATGGAGTCGAATGCCACCGCCGGGTCAAGTATAGTGCAGCCAGTTAAATTTAAAATAAAGTTTGAGGCCTGTTTAGCTTTGTTGAATTCACTGTTTCCGTACACGATCTGGGCGCTTAATGATTATGGAATTTAGAAGTTTAGACACTACTTTTTCAGAGTTATTCCCCTGTGGTTATCACAAGAGGATTTCTTTCCTTTCTTTGAAGACTAGGACTATCGGTAACTGTGAACAGTAAGGGGGATTCATTTTTGATTTTTCTGCTGTAGCCAACACTTTCGTTAATCTAAGCAATAATTCTCACCACTGTCCTTAAATACCTTTGCTGCAAGCTTATTGGTGCCTGCGACGCTTCTTCAATCCAGTTTTTGACTGCCTCCTCAACTTCTTAGAGACCCAATCTAAAATTTCTACTCAGAATGTAACTAAATGGCCGAAACGGAATAATAGTTAGATTAATATTCTAAGTGTTCTGTCCATCATTCCAGTTGTTTCCCCTCGCGAGTAAATTGTGAACCCATCCTTCTCTGCTATAGCCTCAATAACCATTGACTTTCCGATCCAAGTGTCCTTGATTAGTCTTAATAATTGTCTAACGCTACCTATCACCTCTGCCTTTGTTACCTCTAACTTTTACTGTCCATCTAGTCGTCTGTGGGAACCAAAAGTAGTGCCCCATCACACCGCACTGCATCGATGATCATTCCGCTTTCTAAGCAAGGAGAAAAGTCTTAGTATGAAAACCAAAGGAAAATAAATAATCGGTTTGACTGACATGCTATCTAACACCCTATGGCTCATAGTTACACCATGCACAACTGAAGCTCGAGAAAACCAGGTGGGTTCTACACTTGAACGAGAGTGCATCCATCATATCTTCACCCTTCGAAAGGTTTCGTGGAACATACATCGACTTACCGGCACCTGACATCTGCCACATCACTTCATTTGGAAGTGGCACTCCACGTTTTCGACCAAGAGGTGTTGTAGTATCTTCTGATTATGAAGAGAGTAATAAGGAGATATATAGTGCCCATGAAGGCTTATTTCGCGACATCTTTCTTCCGTATGATGGATATGAAGAATGATCATTGGAAGTGGTGTTCATCAGAGATGTTCGATGTCGTCTTTTCTGCTTAATTTGCTTTTGAATTTACTCGACTAAACCGTGTTTAACTACATATTTACAAGATTCGATCTACTTAAAAGGCGTTTGGTTTACTTGTAGCACACAGATGGTGTATTCGTGCTAAGCGTAACGGTAACAAAATGCTAACTATTTTGAATGCTTTGAGTAGAAATCTGAATACTGGAAAGGTTTAAAATATTTTCACCTCTGAATGAAGATATTGGTAGTTTGGTGTTCTCTGAGCTTTGGTATTCTGTCGTGGACGCTTCATCACCAGGCTTGATGACAAACTCAAGACCAACTTTATTAAGAAGTGAAAGATATTTGAATGTTACACGAACGTTTAGATAGTCCTTTGATGACCTTGATTGTTGTCTAGTTTCAATTTGGGGAAGAAATTTCCGTCACACCTTGACCTCCTTGAACTTACATTTCACTCGGTCACACTGGTAGAGAAGTTTTGTTAGCGTGAGTTCGTGCTATATTTTACCGTTACATAGTGCTTAATTGTTGATTTGTTTGGTCAATCTGTTCTTGGTTGATACAAGGCTGTATCTCTTCTGAAGTAGCTTATAGACTGGGTCTGTATCCCTGTGTCTTTTGATTGACTTTTCGTTGGAGTGCCATGCTTCTAGAAATTCTCTTGCAGCTTTCGAACTTACTCTTTGGAGGATTTCCACATTCTTCAAGTCAGATTTATGATGTCCTCGTCAGAAGAAGGCATGATGGGACGTTGCAAAATCAAGCGTTCAGGAAGAACACACACAGAACATGTTTTAAACTAAAACAGCAGTCAGCCTATAGTCCATAAGAAATATTGTGTACAAACTTTATTCTCAAGAGCCTAAACACATTGCAGCACTGAACCACCACGGAAAGAAAGATATTTATGCAAAATGTTCGAAGTCAAAGATTACCGACACAGTTTATCAAACAAATGCTTATCAGGAGAATATAGGGTAGCACAATTACCTCAAATGAAAAAGCGCTTTACGTTATAGTACATCAAGGATGTTTCAGAAACGATCAACCGGTTCCTTCTTTCATTCGGGATTGAAGTGTCACACAAACCGATGAAATCACGATAGAACATATTACACTAAGTGAAACGTCAGCTGCCAGAAGATAGGACGAAAATAATCTACAAAACCAATTGCAGATATAGTGT